AGAGTCATCTCACTTATGTGTTCTTAGTCTCACTTTGGGTTTACATTGAAGGCCTGTGGGTTCTCAGTGTACATGGGATAGAAGTAAATCTAATAAATAGGTAGGGTCCAGACTGGTTTATTGGTTTCTAAACCAATAAAAGAATTTTCAGATCGATTCTGATGCAGAATGAGAGACGACACGAAGAGCATTTTCTGACCCGCTTGCGGGTGAGAGGAGGCAGAACATTTCAGCCGTCAATCCTGCAGGTAATAAAGAAGTGCTGCCCTATCTACAGCGGCTCATGAGAGAGGACTGAACTCTGGGAATAGTATACCGATTATGAATTACAGTCTTTATTACATCTCAACTGTAAACTGAAAAAAAATAATATCAATATCAATTACATAACATAAAACAACTGTTATGCTTTTTGACTTGTTTCACATCAAGTTTCTTTTAATGATATTAGTCAGCAGAACCACTCTTCTGATCATCAAGGGAGTTGAAATGACAATCTGGAGAAAAATGACTGCTAACAAGAGAACTGAGAGGCAACATGTAGTCATTGTTCAAATTATGAGACAAAGGAACTCTCATATTAAGCTCGTCATCACACCAAGTTCAAATGATAAGTAGCTTCAACGGTCACACCTGAGTCATTAGATGCAGTCATATATGAATAATCTACTCAGTTTACAACACTTTCCTGAAACATTCCCACCTCCTAAACTTTAATACTTTTCAAGAAGATAAAAACACAACTCTCAATGCTTTTCATGGACAGGTTGATAAATACATAGGTTTGACTCTGGCGTACTCTTCCACTTCCACTTTATCCTTCAACTCACTGAATGAGTGGAGATATAACTTCTAATCAAAAAACTCAGCCATCACTGATTCCCTGCTCCCTTTTCGGTGAAGGTCAGAAGAACATCTCCTTGGAGAAATGCTCAACTGGTAAGAAGCGTCTAAAAGCTGAACAGAGACGGTGAGAGACTGGGCTCCATGTTTACTGAGACGTCTATAAAGCTGAGATATACAGTGCCTTTAAATGGACCACTCAAAGGAAGTCCTTTTCTGAAATCTCCAATCTTCGCTTCATTGGTGAGGTAAAAAGCTGTTTCAACAGTTAACTAACTTTAACTAACATTAACTAGCTTTGATGTCATTCAATCTGGTTTCCATGGTTACTACAGTACTGAGACTGCCCTCATTAAAGTGTTCAATGACATCCACATAAATTCAGAGTGTGGAAGAACCACAGTGCTGGTTCTGTTGATGATGACATTCTGCTGGATCCACTGAAAAACTTTAAATAGCAGGAGAAGCTACCATAAATATACAGATGATAGCACAAGATGTCTTTTCAATATTTATCTGCGTGTGAATTTAGTTGTATTTCTTTTTAATCATTGCTTTTTCTCTATAAAATGGAAAAGTTACTATCCACTGTCGCCACATGTTTACTCAGTAAAAGTGATTAGTGAGTTAAAACTCAATGATGCAATAAGTGGAACTGCAACTTTCAACCAATTGTCACAAACTGCATTTGACTGTATTTTACAACTAAGATGAATGCCATTATATTTATATTAATTTGATCATATTTTTCGACATAAGATTTTAACCGGACATTTTGTGTCTTCTAAAGTACCTTGTCATGACATTTGTTTAGACCAAGTTCATCTATGAAGTTTCATCATCAGCTAGCAGCTACACATTGCCACCATGTTCTAGAGTTACTTCACTCCATCCTGAATTCTCTGCATTTTAATTCAGTGTAAAGTCACAGTCGGGTTAAAAAGCATTTAGAATATATGTGCCTTTGCTAAAGGCCAATTTTAATTTTGACACATTTACAGTGAGACATAGAATTACATTTAATACCCTCAATAAAAATTTCAAAATCTGTCACTGCTGCCTCTGTTATTTGTGGCAGATGAAAATAATAAAACCAATTGTGAGCATAAATATCGCCGTTCCATAAACCACAATGGCATAATATCAGATTATGAAGGGCGTGCAATTAAAATAAACATATTCCAAGGTCCACTTTAAGGTCAACACCTAACTGCAGCTTTATTCATGTCTCATTCTCATTTATCTTGTGAGGTTTCATTGTCAATCTGTTTATTGCCTCCTGAACAGAAGGCAACATACATCGTCTTTCAAAGCTCGTTCATAGACTACATTAGAAAAAAGGTTCACACCATGTATTCACTGTATTGAAGAAAGAGCAGCTAAACATTAAAAATAACATATGTTGTTGTTACTTTGTTGAACAAAGAAGTGAAAGAGAAGAGAAACTGGGGAGCAGAGACGTGGGGATGCAGAGGGACAGAGTGATGAAGGAACAGACATGGGGGCTACAGGCAGGTATCATAATCATTTCTCTCTCAGGTTATAATCTTTCCATTAGTCTCAGATGAGGAGGCATAACCACTCAATCTAGGCTTTAATGGGACAATGCTTATATGCTTAGACAGAGCCAGTGAACCTGAGGCTTAGAGTGATTGCCTTAGTGACAAAATGAATGAGACTTGAAGCTGGAGCTACGTGAGGATCGTCCGCTCGCCTACAGCGCTTTAAATCTCAGATCATGGTCCGTAGATGATCGATAATCCTCACTTTACAGATTTTATTTTGTCCCGGCGGTGAAGAATGAATTCTCCACAGTGCATATTCCACTGACTACATCTAGTTGTGACACTGCTTAGAATAAACTTCAGTACTTTCAGGATACTTCTTAATGGAAGTAACATTTCATTTTGTTTACTCTGAATTTGCATGATGCCAGCATGCAGGCCACAGGCATCAAAGTCTATTTTTTTATTTTTTTTGCAGCCTTGTTGACGGGCCATTTTAATATTCAAGGACAGTCTTTGCGAGCTCTTAGAGTGTGACTGAATAAGCCTATTTCTGCTCACAGGGCCTGAGAGCTTGTACAGCATGTTAACTGCTGAATGTTTGGCAATGGAAATGTGGGCTGGGTTCATTTCAGACTAAAGCACTGCTTACTTAAAACGGAGAAAGTTGCAAATGCAGACATATGTAAATTAGTAAATGTAACAAACACGCAGAGAGCCACTATCTAAAGTTCAAATGTGCATGCAACAACAAACCAACTCATCTTCAAAGCAGCACACACATTACTAATACGCCCTTAGTCTTTCCTGTTCTGATTATTTCAGATAGTCTATGTCTTATAGACAAAAAAACAACAAAACTTTATCAATTATTTAACAGAGTTATTTACATGGTCGGCAATTAATTGATTCCCATTAATCACATTTTAGTCAAAATTTAGCCAATATGCTCATGGTTCTCACATCTGCTCAGCTGCTGGTAAGAGTTGATTGATTGATTAAAAAAGAAAAGCAACATTCTCAAAAACCCATTTTACTCCTAAATGAAAAACAGACACATGAGCTCAAAACAGTGACCTCGTCATCCACAGATGTTGTTTGTGGATGAAGCTTCTGCGTCAGATTTATGTGTGTACAGAAACAAAATACAAAGATCCGGTTTTGGGATTTTTGAACGTCAGAAAGAAAAACAACAACAAAAAAAAAAACTATAAATTGCATTAAAATCTATGTAGTTAATAAATTGAAATTTATGGCCCTATATAGATGTGTTAAAAGGGGAAAAATACGTTTGTTATCTGTCATAATGTAGTAGTGATGATGGGCCCAAATGCAGCGAGGTAGAGACGGCGAGTCAACGTTAGAATTTTAATAGTGAAAGTGAACAAAACTTACAGGGAGCCAGAGTAGAACAAAAAGCAGATCCACAGTGGGATAAATAAGAGGAATCAGCAAGAAGGGATAAGAGAGAGGTGAATGCTGGAACAATAGACTGGGATAAAATGACTAACAGTTAGCAGGAGTGAGAGAGAGAGACAGAGAACATGGGAACCAAGAAAATGAATCTAAGAGTAATCTATAACTAGACACAAAGAATCTCTGAGAAAAGACTTAAATGTAAAATAGAAACAAGATGATGTAATCAATACAAGGAATCAAGGAGCACAATAATAATGGAACTAAACACCAAAACAACCGTGACATTAGGTTCCTGACATTATCTCAAATCAGTCTTCCTTTTCTCCTCTGTCCTAAAAAAATGGCTTTTCTGTCCAAAAAGAAGCTGACAGCTGGATATTTTCAACCATTGTAAGAAAACAACAGAGAAGGTTGTGGCTGCAAATTCCAATTAATCTGCAAAACTCAGATTCAAGTCAACTTAAACCAGAGTCTACCTTCCTGTGATGTTAAGTTTAACCTTCAGCAATTCCTCTTCACCGTTTCTAAAGGTTTAAATGCATTGAGTGGCTGCCATGTGATTGCACAGGAGAACCTAACGGAACAGTATAGAGTGAATGTTACTACAATCACCAACAGTGCACCAAAGTTCTCCGACTAAAATCACGAGGAGCGTGACTTTATTATTTTTCAAAGAGTCCAGTTTCATCGAGCCGCCTTCATTTTCCTGATATTTAGCTTTGGTTATTATTTGCTGTAGCGGCAGCTTTTGTAGGCAAACTTTAAAAAGTGATTTTTTTCTCCAGAACATCTTTTAGCTCTAATTATTAACATCAAATTACAGCATGACAGTTTGAGCAGGTGTGCTCGTTCCAGGATCCCAGCTTTGTGCATCAAGGCTCTAATTCTTGTGCACTGACTGGAACTGAGCCATTATTAACTAAATCTGTTTCTGTTCTTATAATGAGGGCAATATGGCTACCAGAAAAAGGAGAAAATTTGTAAAAGTGGAGAAACATATTCAAATCCAAGTTTATTCTGGAATTGGTTGCAAAGTACCAGAGCCCTTTGCAACTGGTAGAATTACTTCTTCAACTCAATATATTATTATAGCGACAGTGCACACATGTAAAGTCTAATATTTTTCATATATTACTATATATATATATATATATATATATATATATATATATATATGTACTTTTTTTTTGTACATCTACTTTCATCTCACCACTATTTTTTACAACATGTTACCTTTAAGTTTGTTCTGAATGTCCAACACAATGTCCAGAGGGTAGAAAGGCAGCACAGGGTCACTGACCAGGCGCAGAATGGCTTCAGCTGTCATCTGCAGAAACAGTCACAGAATAAAGCAAGTCAAGTTAGTTTACTTTATTCATTCATCATTTCATATTAGCAACTATAATCAGTCATTTAAAATCTACAAGTTCATCACGGTCTGCAGACCCAGGATCAACTCTTGGTCAAGCATGTTTTCCATCTCGTACGTAACCCAGAACATCCTGTGGTCCTCAGTTCACCCCACAAGCCTGGGAACTGTTCTGTTCTGCAAAGCCCTAAACACCAAGGTCAGTCTGACTTCCGGTTTCCATCCACAGTCCAAATAAAGACATATAAATCGAAAACTTGAATCCACCTTATGCTGCCTCGCCTCTAATCCTTCCCAGTCCAGCCCAGGAGAGTCAGTTCCTTTCCGGGTTGAATATGCTCATGGTTCTCACATCTCCTCAGCTGCTGGTATTTTCCCGTTTGAGGTCTCTTTACGTTATCAGTCTCCTCTTTCCACACTCTTAGAATCTGTAAGTAACTTCAAATAGCCAGGGAGACTTCTTCCTTGTTTTATCGTGGCTCTGTCACATTTGTCTGCTTAGTGCTGACCTTCAGTTCCTGTTCTGCTGGATGGGCAATATGTCATCTCCACTAATCACACCGTCATTTCATGTATTGCCCTTCCAGACAAACCAGCTTCTTGTAAATTGAAAAACTGACATCTCCATCATTGGTTCACATGTGTATAAACTTAAATCACTAAACTATTTCTATGAATGACTGTTTACGCTTTTAATGAATGATAGTGAAAATCTGAGACAAAAACATTACAAATATGATCTCAGTCAGACAAAACTCATAGACAACGATTCAACCCTGACTGACAGCCCATATTTGAGCTGATTTATCCAAATATTACTGCGTAATATGCGTCTGTCCTTGTTATAGCCAGCAGATATGCGATATTTCCCTGCTCTGCTGACCCATTGACTGCTGGGATTTGATCCATCACCCCAACAACTCTAACAGAGCCAAATGGCAAGAGGAAATAGTCAGACCATTTTTGACTGACTCTGGTTTCTGTATGCCGACTGCTTATGGGTGCTTAACTAAGCATTTCAAAGCTGGCCAAAAATACTTTTCTCACATCCCTGAAAATGTCCAATGTTCCCAACAACTATGTCTAATGGCTACTTATTGTATTTGTGCAAAAAGCCTTGTGAGTCTTCTGCCAAAATCAGACACTTAATTCTTTCTCTGTCGCTGCGAACAACTTAAAATGCAACATGTAAAATTGAGCAACTTTCAGTTTTATTTCCCCTTAACCCCGACAATTCCCAAAATAAAGAAAAATACAAAGTTCTGTCATCCGTCCATCCATCCATCCGCTGCCTCTCTTTTCTAACACTTGAGAGCCCGGGGACATCTCTTTATGTTTACAAGCTGGCTGTTTCCTTCCTCTAGGATCTGCCATATTGTTCTGTTTATACCAAAGCTGTAAAATCCAGCTGTAAAATTGCTGCAGAGCTTCTTTTATCCCTATTTGTTGCCTCTCCTCTGTCACAGACATAACACATATTCAGCCAGCAATATACACTGGAATGGGTATATCATCAAAATATACGTCTACCACGGTAACGAGAACAAGAGACATCATGTCCATTTTTACGCCTGCAGCTCAATTGTTTTACAACCTCCCAGTTATCTGCCAGTGGATTCTGATTGGTGTTTATCAGGATGGAAACAAGCATCTAGATCATGTTATGCCTAGTCTTTTGTCATTTTGACAGATTCAGGTTCAATTGAAAATGTAAGAATCTGTGTAACCTTAGGTTTTCTTATCAATAAAATGGCAGCTGTGTTATAAGAAAAAATGAATTATTAGGTTCTAGTGCAAGAAAACATTTACTTGTAGCAAATTGAAAATGGGACTCTTTTTATTAAACAACAGCTTTCTTCATGTGTCTCCTCCAGAGCAACCATGGCGCTCATTTCAAGTGGTATAAACTTGAAGGTTTTGATTACACAGTATTCTGATAGCAAATGCATTATTTTTCCTTGCCTTTCCACTGACAACTTTGAATTACTCATTGGATAATTTCAAACACAACCTCATGGAACTTTAACTGCCTGGTCTCCATTTCTAGAGCCTGATAAATGGGGAAAAAGAGATTTAAAAATCCACTGCTATCTCCGCTACAGATCAGTTATACTGGCTTTCCTGCCTCTGTGATTTGTGGGCGCTCATTTATTCTGCTAACTGTAACCAGCTGCACCTATATAACTCTCGTTTGCAAGTATTTTGAAAAGAGCTTACAGTGTACAGATCTGCTCTGCACCCCTCTGCGCTGTTGTCACTGCCACCGAAATCAATCTGGTGGAGTGGGGGCAGGGGGGATTATCGAATTGATTTGAAGCCAGTGAGTAATACGACTGCAGAAAGCATTCATCAAAAGCCTGTAATGTGGGGGGACAGAAAAGGCCGTTGATTTCTTATTTATAGCCTTATTTCTGGATCATCTCTTTCGAAGGCAGAGTCAAGGGAGGAGAGCAAAGCAGAGACAGGAGATAATGACAGGAAAAGAAAAGCAGAACGGGGGCTGTGACAAAACAGAAAGCAGAAGAATGTCCAAGCTGAAGAAATGTGACAGTTGATGGGGTGTGGAAAATATAACAAACTAACCCCAACATCTTTTCTAACGCCAGTTGTTTTTGTCTCTTTTTATTCCACCGGGAATGCACTTCCCATCTGACATACAATGAACTGATGTGTTACTTGCAGTGAAGGAAATTAGTTTAATCCATTTTTAAGAGCAGCTTTATAGGTGATGATCTGGTTTAACTGAGTGGCATTGGAACAGGGTCACTGCAGAGTACTGAATGAGCGCTTTAGAAAGGCTTTGTCCTGCAAGGTCAGAAGCAAAAATCAAAATACACAAAAGGAGATGTGAATTTCTGTGAACACTTCTGGCTTATTTAGTGCTTCACATTTTAAAAAGGAGAAAAAAGATTTCAAAGTCAGTGGCTGTTTCTCAGCACATCAATTAAAGTGGCATGTTTATGTGTTTTTCAGGAAGTATTTTGTCATTTTCTAGCAGAATCATATTCTAGCATATTTACTTCAAAAAATGCTACAAGTAATAAATTTGACTTTGTAATTGAAAACCGTGGATGATTTAGGTGAATAGGTGAATTCATGAACACTGAACCACAAGTAGGTGGGAATGTATACTTTGACATGTTATTTTCTGTCTGTGTGTGTTATGCAGAATCCAGAAGTGAAGAGGAAGGCAAACAAGTGAGCACAGGGAGAAAAGCGGAACACAGAAGGAACACAGACATGGAGACTCCACCAAGGAGTGTAGAAACTGGGATGAGGGATTACTGGAAATGGGATCAGGGTCGACTCATCTTTGACAAACAGCTGACAGCAAATAGAGACTTCCATCATAATGAAACAATGTGGGACAAGTTTCCCTGTTAAATCAAGAGCTTAGTGTTTGTTGGTTGGACGGACACGGACAGAGTTGACCTGGCTAACTCCGTCTAGCACAACTTGAACACAACAGTAGTGTTTTCAGTCAGTTTGTGATTGAAGCAGAATGTGAACCATTTAGAGTTTTGTAAAGCCAAACTCTAAATTGTTATCATCCACCCAGAAATCTGATTTATGGGTGTACTATATAAAGGTTGCAATTTGGGACTTTTGTTTTTTCTTTTTCAAAATACCTGATTACTCACATTTTTAATATGTTAAAGGCTATGTTATTAATTAATCAAAAGTGTTGAGAAAGCATACTGACCCTAGTTAATACTTAAAATACTGGCTTGGCAGCTAATGCAATAATAATATTTTAATCTGTTGGCAACAAACTAAACATTTATTTTTTTCTCTAAGTCTTTTCAGTTGCAACTGTTGAAAGTTAATATTTCGTTTCAAACAGGAAGATGATCATTTATACAGTCATAAAGAAGCAACTCTTAGAGGCTTCAGTTTATTCCTCTTCAGCAGACCATTTTAGCTCGTCTCCTTAAGGTCTGTCATTGACATCACTGGCTCTGTTTTGATATTGCCGCTAGCAGACCTCTACTGGCTCAGCAGGCCATTAAAAACTGGATAAAACAGTCAGATTTTATTTCTTTTTTCTTTATACTTCTACTCAAAATGCCAAGCTAACAGGAACTATTTGAGACAAACTGAAATTGAAAAATGACATCTACCTTTCAAGGGAACTGACAGTTGTTTGGGGGCATACTTGAATCTAATGTCAGTGCAATTGGGGAGCAAAACAACCACAAATAAAACCCATTTGATCCATATATATATATATATTTATGTAAATGACAGAAATTCGAAATGAGGCTTATTTTTCAACAGAGCAGTGATCTACTTGAACACCATTTACTCTGGCTTTCACCGGTTTGCCTTGTTAAAATTCAGCAGTCAAAGAATCCAGTCAGCCAGTACACAAGTTCCTCCAGATACCAGTTTAAGACAATCTGATAAAATCTCAGAAAGGTAGGTCAACTCTGACACACCATCAAGGTCCAAAGAATCTTTTGCCGTTGAGTTTGATTTAGCTACTCAGGAAACTACCTGAGTAGCTAAACCTGATGTCCAACTCAGGTTGGACATCATGATCACCTGACTCATAGTGTGATGTTCCTCCTTTCTGCTGCACAAACAGTTCTGATCCACAGAGATCATTTGGGCTGAGATTGGAGAAATTCAAATGAAGACCTCAAAGTCTTTGTTGTCATCACAAAACCATCTCAGAATGATCTTTTTTTATTTGTGGCAGGATCCATGACCCTGCTAAATATTGACCATTAAAAGTTAAACCCAAGATCATTCACAGCTCTGGGAGGCTTATGTTTTAAGAATCTTTTCATTCAGCCCCATCAGTAACTTTCCTCTTATGGAAACTCTAAATGTCCACAAGATCAATGGGCATATGGATGTCTTAAATTCAGAAACTTGACTGCTTATGGTTCATAATAAAATAGCAAATAGTAGTTGGCATATAACCTGTACTTGTATAGCTCTTTGTCAAGTCC